CTATAGCAAAAAAAAAAAAAAAAAAACCTGAAAAAAAAATTAAAAATATATATCGCATAAGATAATTTGTTCAGCTAAGTGTTATCTGCTTTCTGGAAACTAGTAATGCTTCATGTTCACCCATCATAACTAATATGGGAACTGTAAGGGGTAAAGGTGTTATCTTTGTTGATTTAAGAGATGTTTCCTCTTTTGTAACAAACGTGTAGCAGAGGAGTATAGATTTCCTTTGAGAACATATATTGTACCTTTTTTAGACAAAAGCAGGAGCTATAATGTTAATTTCAGAGGAGAAGGATGAGTTAGAGTTGTAACTCTCCGCCCTGCTCCGACGTTCTCTTTCTCTGCACCAGGTCCTGCCATGAAACGGAAGGACTTGACTTCTGCCAAGCCCCCTCACTGTCGGGGCTCTTCTAGCCCTACCCTGATGCTGACCTCCGTCCCCTGCTCTGTTCCTCTGAAAGCTCAGTAGCATATCATCAGATGTTAGATCAACAGTGTGTCTAATTCACAAAAGGATGTGATTGTCTTATTTTCTCTTAACCTTCTAAAATTGTTTGCATAATATTAATTTAAATGAATCTGTAGTTGAAAGACATTTTAAGCATATGGCCAAAGCGAGTATTTCTTAAGCAGAACTGATGGAAGAACTCTGGAAGGAAAAGATAGCATCTTTGGTATTTATATTCTGAGTAGAAAATTCATTCTTTTTAAAAAAGAAATGTTGAGCCAGTGGGTGGCACGGTGGTTATGGTATTGGACTCCCACATGACTGACCGCAATTTGAGTCCTGGACCTGGCGCTTTGCTTCCTCACTTTGCCTCTCTCTGTCTCTGGTCAAATTAAATAATAATAATAAATAAAATAATTTTAAAAACAAAATGGGATGTCGAGGTCAGCAGAAGGCATGGTGGTTAAGGCACTAGACTTTCACATAGCCAGCTGCAGTTCGAGTCCCGGACCTCGCAGCTTACTGTCTCACGTTCCCTTTCTCTCTCGGTCTGTCTCTCTTTGGTCAAATTTTAAAATAATAATAAATAAAAATAATAATTCTTTAAAATATGAAAAAGGAATGTTAATGTTAAGCTAAACTTACCCTTTATCAGTGAAATAAATAAAAGCCTAAATAAGAGTTAAGGAAGCTCCAGTTTGTAGGTCAAATCTGGACCATTGCTTATTTATGTAAATAGAATTTGATTGGATCACGCCCCATAGCAGAGTTGTGTAGTTGCAGCAGTAACCTTATAACCCACAAAATAAAATATTACTATGTGGCTCATGTCATAAAATTTACTGACCACCGGTCTTCAGTGTAGGGTTTTCTAACCTCTTTTTGGGGAGAAGAGCAAGATGCTGATGAACAAATCTGTTTCGTTCAAAACTTCAAAGTAAAGAGACATTGATTGATAGGTATTCTTCAAAACAAGAGTTCCTTTTTCAATGTTTTTTAAAATTAAATGTATCTTTACTGTAGTTTTTCTGAAACCATTTGCATATTACAGTAAGTACATCAGGACTTGTGAAGAAGGAGCATAATAAGCATTTCAAAAATATAATTCATCAAGAACCCTTTTTGTGTGGAACATTTTCCAAGTCTGCTCTTCTTCAGAATACACACTGAGCAAACAGTTATGGAGCATGGCGGGTTAGATGCAAGCAAGGAGTATGTGTTTGATTCAGATATGAGGGTTTATTTGTAAGTTTACACTGGTTAATAGGTAAACAAACCAAACAGCCTTGAGTCCATTTTCAGTTTGGTAAATTTTAATATAGGATTGGACTTTTGCTCTCTAACACATTTCAGTTTTTGATTCATAATTGAATTCATTTTGCCACCTCTGAATTTAACACCACTTGACTAGAAGGTATTGGGCAAACCAAAATGGAATTCACTTGTATCATTTGCTTCATATTTTAGTAGATTTGAAGACTAAAGTGTTCTAATCATGAACTCTCAGAAATTCACTAAATCATTTCTAACTTTGCCTTTTTTGTTGTTGTTTTCAGAATTTAAATAAACAGTCCTTCGACCTTGCAAAATTCTTACTGAAAAGGACAGTCCAGACCATTGAGGCGTGCATCGCCAACGTATGTGTTTCTGCCTGCATTTATACCGCAGTGTGTACTTCTTAGTCCTTAGTACAAGTTGTTAATCTTCTCACAGACAATTTTACTTAGTCTGTAAAGAGTTTTGTGTATTTAGAACAAATATAAAAGAACGTAAACATCCGAATGTGACCAAAGTTAGAGAAATACAGCATGACTTCTTAAGCTTTATTGGCATTGTTTTAAAATGGCACACGGTGGTGGGTGTTTTCATGAAACTTGTCTACAGCTACCACCCCTCCTTCCGCATTTGTATTTATGTTCATCCTGTTATCTCTTATTACCTTTGGGTCTCTTTCTTCACCTCAGTATTTTCCCCTTAATATCTTCTAGGTCATTCTTCGCTAAGCACTCTATATTCCCCTTTGGAGAGTTCACACGTAATAACCGAAATACTTCTTAAACATTTATTTATGAACAGTTTGGGTTTTTTAGTGAGAACTCAAAAAGAGAAATATGTGTAATTTCACATATAGCAGTTAATTTTTCTAATATAGCCGTTAATTTATTATACATTTGCTCATATTTTTGCCCTTTTTTTTTAACATCCTCTGGGAAGATTTGTATTTTCTACATATGCATTTATATTTCTATTGACTTTAAAAGTTGGGATCTGCATGTCTGTGGTTCCCTGTTGCCTTCCATTTAGGTTCCTTTCAATGTTGTCTTTTACTAGTCGGTTTTGTAAATGTAGTACTTATCTATTATTGGTTCATTTTCCACAGATAACACCCTAAATGTAGGTTATTAATCTAAATGGAATAATATGGGTATTATTTCTATCACTAAATCGATATTTAAACAAGTTAAAAACACATTGGGCAGGCCAGCTGGTGGTGTGGTGGTTGCAGTGCCAGCCTGCTGTGCAGTGCAGATCCCCGTCCTGATGATGGAGAAACACGTGGGGTGCACGTGCACATGTCCCCAAAATCTCCAAGGAGAGAGAGATGGAAGAGAGGAGATTGCAGCGTTACCACCCCCTGTAGGGGAGATAAAAGAGTACAGAAGATCACACAGTGAAGAGTGCACTTGTACCCTGGTCCCAGTTCTCGGACATAACCATCACCAATAGGTTTTTCTGTTCTCACAGAAGTAGTTTTCTGTGCTTATTGGTGTATGTGCTCATGGGTGTTTGTTTTGTTAAGTAACTTCCTTACGAGCACTGGACTCCCACATGCCGACTGTGGTTCGAGTCCTGGACCTGGCAGCTTGCTTTCTCGCTTTGCCTCTGTCTCTTGCTCTTCCCCCTCTGGTCAAATTAAAATAAATAAATAAAATTAAATAAAATACCTATTTTTTAAAAAGTGACTTCTTTATTCTTTTCAAGGCGTGCTTGTGGGTTTCAGTATATGATTCCGTCAGAAATGGACACTCGTAACAGCTGTCTCTTCATTTGTGCGCTTGCATTGTTCGGTCTTTACGGTTATCTCATCAACTTCTCTCTGTGTTGCCTTCTGAGGCAGATAATTTTCCTTTCTCTGGGTATTAGAAAAGTCGCCCTTTACTTTGAAATGCTCTTAGTTACTAAATTCATGGGAAAATTAGTCTAACTTTTAAATATAGATCAAAGATTGAAATTAAAAACTTCTTCTCTGCTACAAGGAAATTTCTCCATACAGTTGTCTCTATATAACGTCACAAACTGTCTAAATTGTTTTAGTGAAAATTAAGACTCCTGGAAATGTCATTTTTATGTAAAACACATCCAATAACCCAATTCTTTTTTTTTCACCTTTGTCCTTATACTATTCATTTGATTTCATATTATTTGAAGGTTTTGTTTTTTCTGCTACTTAGATAACTGTCCTATTAAATATTAGATCCCTATTCTATACCCCATTCCCTTCAGTTGCGTATGAAGTGCTGATAATATAGTTTTTTAAAACCTAAGTATATAGATCATCTATTTGCGCTTTTGAACAAAATAGATATTTTATGTTTGTTTTTAATTTCTCTCATAGTTTTTCAACCAAGTCCTGGTGCTGGGAAGGTCGTCAGTAAGTGACTTGTCAGAACACGTATTCGACCTCATTCAGGAGCTTTTCGCCATAGACCCTCACTTACTGTTATCTGTCATGCCGCAGCTTGAATTCAAACTAAAGGTAGGACTGGCCGATTTGTAAGTCCTGTAGACTCTGGAGGAACTGTGTACATCACATGAATTTCCTGTAACTGTGAAATGATCAGTGAGTCACTTTATCTCCTTATCCTTAGTTAAGGTAAACATTTTACAATTTCTGGACTAACTCAGTATCTCTCTTCTTGGTGACAGGAACGTTACATTGTAAAATTACAGTGCACCTAGTTGTGACTGGTAAGCACAGTGAGGCAAGTGATAGGTGTCACGAATGGTCTTATGCTCGAAATTCATAATGCCCTTTGGTATTTAATGGTATATATTGTTAGATAGGTGTATTTAGAACGTCAGAATTGAGTGCTCTAGGGGTTTCAATGACAACTTGATTGAAAGAAATTTTACCCTGTGTCTTTATTGTTTTTCATAGCCAGCTCAGAAAGGAACGTGTAAGTCCATAAAAATAAGAAAACCCTGATACTTGATTCCTTAACCAAACCAAATTGTAGAAGATAACACCTTTTACTTAATATTCTATACTTTCATAAAATATTTTATACATAATCTCATTTACTCCTTAAATCAAACTGCGGTATAATAAGAACTAATACTAGAATTTTTACCTTTGAGATCAAAAAATTTAAGATTAATTATTTTGTCCAGTTTCATGGTTAAAGCAGATTTGGGATTTGAACTTAGATATTTAGGCTCTTAAAATTTGTATATGTATTAATAATTATTCGTTTACATTATATAATTATTACTAGTACTTTCTATTTGTAGTATAAAGGACATTATAGCAATAAAAGTTTTCTTACAGCAAACTCTGGTTGTGTGGAAGCTATTATAGAAAACAAAGTTTTGAGCCATTTCTACAACCTAGAGGTTAAGGGAGCCAGATCCCAAATGGCCTGCCACAGTTTGAGTCCCAGCTCTGGCAGGTTGAAGAATGTTCCAGGTGTGTGTGCATGTACGCCCAGGACTCCAGCAGCATGGAGAAGTGGAGAGGGTGTTGTGGTGTGGTCACACCTCAGGGTGGGGTGGTTTCTCTCTCACTTTGTCTCTGTCTCTGCTTCTAGGGAGCACACACCATATGGCAAAAAGAAAACAAATAGTTTTTTGTTTTGTTTTAATGAGGTGCTTCTATATTAAATTATTTCTAGGTGTGAGGTTTTAAAATGTTTCCTCTCAGGGCCAGCACATGATGTAGTGATTTCCTCACTGAACTTTCACATGGACAACCAAGGTTCAAGTCCCAGACACTGTAGCTAAAACTTACGCCGGGCCCATGTACGTGTGTGCCCAAGATCCTGGGAGGAGAGTGAAGGAGAAGGGATTGTGGTATATCTTATCCCCCCCAGGGCGTGATTTCTCACTTTCTCTCTGCTCCCTAAAGCAGAAACCTCACTAAAAAATAGTCCAGCAAATGGTACTTGGTGGGTAAGGTGCTCGACTCCCACCTGGCTGACCGTGGTTCAAGCCCAGGACCTAGTGGCTTTATTTCTCACTTTCCGTTACTATCTCTCTATGGTCAGAATAAAATTTTAAAAGTCAAATAAATTTTTTGATAAAGGAAGAAAAATATTATCTTTCTGAGACCAGGAGGTGGCGCAGTGTTTAAGGTGTTGTACTCCCACGTGGCCAACCGTGGTTCCAGTTGGACAGCAGCTTGAAACTCACGCTAGGCACATGTTCATGTGTGCCTAAAATCCTGAGAGGAGAGTGGAGAAGGGATTCTAGTGTGGCATTCCCCTCTAAGGGGTGACTTCTCACCTTTTCTTTCTCTTCGTTTCTCTGGCAAGCTTATGTCCCCTATAGCAAGAAATATCTCTTTAAAAATTCTTTTTTGTTGGGACCAGCAGATGGCTTAATGGTTACATCGCTGTACTCCCAGGTACTTGACAGCAGTTTGAATCCCAGACTTGTTGGCTTAAAACTCATGCCAGGTAGGGAACCAGCAGTTAGCGTAATGGCTATGTTGCTGGACTCCCACATAGTCGACTGCGGTTCGCATCCCAGACCTGGTGGCTTAAAACTGAAGCCGGTTGTGTGTGCGTGCGTGCCCAGGATCCCAAGAGGAGAATGGAGGAGAAGGGATTGCGGCGTGACCATCCCCCCTGGGGGGTGATTTCTCGCTGTCTCTCTGTCTCTTTCTGTCTGTCTGGCGAGCGCACGCGCCCTATAGCAAAAACCTCTCCAAAAAAAAAAAACCCTCATGCCAGGTATGTGTGTGTGCGTGCCCAAGATCCCAAGAGAAGAATGGAGGAAAAGGGATTGCAACATGGCCATTCCCCTTTGGGGGTGATTTTTCACTTTCTGTCTCTCTGTATCTCCGAGTTCATGTACCCTATTGCAAAAACTCTCTTTTTTAAAAAAATGTCTTACTTACCATCTGTTTATTGAACTTTAATATGTAAAGTCGAGCCTCTTTAATCTTTAAACAAAACTGCCACAGTGGAAGGGACTGGGACTAGACACGTAGATCTCTGGACTTACTGTACATGGAGGGAAGCGGTGTCAAGGTGGCTGTTGATACCACCTTGTTCTGTAGGCTCATGCGGTGTGTGTGTGCACGTGCGTGCGAGCTAGACTTCATGTGCGAGCGGTGTGTGTGTGGGAACAAACCTGTGGACAGTGGGCATACTGCTGCTCATTCTTCATGTCACCCACCTTCAAGATTCAGGGCACACGTGGCTGCTGGTTCCCAGACTCGAACTGCAAGGCCAGCCTTGAGGGATCGGCCTGCCTTTATCACCAGGCTGCGGAGCTGGCCCGCGGGTTTATTTACCTAAAGCAGAGTTGCCAGTCCAAATCCAGCCCGAGAATAGGTTTATTTTGATATATTTTATTTTAAAATTGTATGCTTTGATTTTTCTTTTTAGCTGCTAACAATAAGTAAATAGATACATTTAAAAGCCAAGGGATTCTGGTTAAAAGTTGAGATGTACGCATCATACGCATTTTCTTTTTTTTTTCCTTTGGAGAGGTTTTCACTATAGGGCACGTGCGCTCGCCAGACAGAGACATAGAGACAGAAAGCGAGAAATCACCCCCCAGAGGGGATAGTCACGCCACAGTCCCTTCTCCTCCACTCTCCTCTTGGGATCTTGGGCACGCACGCACACGCACCTGTCGTGAGTTTTAAGCCACCGGGTCCAGGACACAAACCGCGGTCGACTACATGGGAGTCCAGCGACATAGCCATTACGCTAACTGCTGGTTCCCGCGCATTTTCTTTTTTTAAGAAAATCAGAAGATCTGACAACTTTGGGTCCTTATTTCTAACCTTTCAGTGAAATGGCTGGAACTGAGTAGCAGTTCCTTCTTAAAATAGGTTGTGAGCATTTCAGTTTAGTGCAGTCGGCCCTTTATTTTATACCTACTCCTTCGCACTGATAGAATTTGACTCCAGAACTAGGTATTAAAGGTACATGAATACGAATTTTTTAATAAGTTACTTAATTCCTTCCTTAAGTTAATACCACTAGTCAGTTAATGCTGTTTATGACTAGGTAGTCACTTCTAAGACAGAATAGCTAACATAGGACTGTTAAGTTTTCTGGTGTTTTATTTTTTATTTTTTCTGTGTTTCTGGATAAATTCATGCCCTTTTTAAAAATTATTTAATTTTATTCTTTTTTTTTTTTTTTTAAATTTGATCAGAGAGAGAGAGAGCGAGAGTGAGAAAGCAAGCCACCAGGTCCAGGATTCAAACCATGGTCAGTCATGTGGGAGTGTACACCACGCCACCTGCTGGCCCCAAATTCATGCTTCTACAGAGTTTATGCTAAACCGAATCTGTGTCAATAGTAATGGAAGGATTGGGGTTGTCCTACGACACGTGCCATCAGCTGTGTAGTCCTCGTTCCTAGCTGCGAGCCTGGCCTGCCTGTGCCCGCATTCACTCTATCCTCCCGGATGAAGAAGCAGATAAAGACTGGGCAGAGCCGACTCAGCACCCCTGTGAGCGAGGCAGGGAGCCTGGAACGGTCACGGCTGCGGGGAATTTCTGTAGTTGTCTCTGAGTAACACAGCCAGGACTTTCTATAGTTCAGAATCCTGGATTACAGTCGCCCGAGAATAATAAAAATGTTTCAGGAAATAAAAAATAACTTCTTTGGCTTTATTTATACTGCGCTGTTGTATACTTCAGTCCACAGAGCATTATTCTTACATGGTTAAGCGGCACCTGGAAAAGTACTAGTTAGTAGCCGTGGCTGTCATCAGGAAATTAACTAGCCACATTTTGCTTTTTTGGTGCTGTTGTTGTTTTGTTTTTTATTGTTTGTTTTTATCCTAAGTATTTTTTGTATGTTGATGCCAGTGTGTATAAAATCATTTTGATAGATAGAAATTTGTGAAAAATCAGAGCGGTAGGTGTTAAAAGTTTTGCATATCATGGCACACGTGTTACAGGAAAAGCTTCTGTATAGGCTTCCAATTTAGCTCTCTTGAATATTCACTGGTTCACGAGAAATGGCTTGGGAAACCTTTGAAAGATTCATTTTACTTCAAAAAAACAGACTTTCTGGGGTCTGAAGGGATTTGTACTTGAAGACACTCCAGTTAGCAGGGGTCATGGTGAGCATTCTGCAGACAGACCTGTTTCATGTCTGCGCCGGCCTGAGAGAGCTCCACGCAGCTGAGCCCGGCCTCCGCCGGGGCTGCTGGACCACCCTCTTCACAGCGGCGACGCTGGAAGAACCAGACATGGGCGAGGAGAGATAGCGAGTGTGGCTTACACTTATCCCCCAAGTTTAAAAACATTATAAAATTCACAGTTGTCTTATTTTGGTTAGAGTCAAAATTAAATTTTAACAGGAAATAGTTCAAAACAGTCAGTTTGTAATTAGAATCAATAGCAACGTTAGTTGCCTTTCCTGGGTAGAATTGAACAGAAATAAAAACCAGGATGGCTATAATATTTTTCTTTTCAGAAGTCATTGGTATATTGTTAACGTAGAATGTCCAGTTCCTCTCTTAACTGTTAAGACAGCTGTTTATATCTGTAATTCAAATGAGGCGCGGCGCCATCTCTGCAAGCTAAAGCTCGCGCGTGTGTGGACCAATAGCAGCTGCACATCAGGGCCCACGGGTCTGTGTACCACGGAGACTGACCGTCACGGCGTTCATTCTGGCTGCACTCCAGGCATGCATGCACACTCGCCAGTGGCAGGGGGAGAGTTTCTCACGTGGTCGTCTAATTTCAGTATTTTATGGGTGTGAAATGTCACATCATCTGAAATCACCGATCTAGTGAAGTAGTCCCTCATAGAATAAAATTCCTGCTTACTCTAGTGTTTGGCTTTTAAAGCATAAGTTAATTTTTCTTTAATAAATAAATAATGTTGGCGAGTAAATTGGACTTCCTTAAAATGTAGTACTAGTATGCATTGTCATCACGTTGCCTGAGGAAAACTTGGTCAAAAATTATTTTTGTCATTCATAGTTAAAAATGTAAGAGCGCGATATCATTTTCATTTCTCATCTGTTTGATAGGTGTGTCTGTTTTACCCTCAACCATCTTTTTTTTTTTTTTTTTTTTTTTTACCTTAAAGAGGTTTTTTTGCCGTAGGGCATGTGTATTCTTCAGATAGAGACAGAGACAGTGAGAGGGTAAGTGAGATTACCCACGCAGTAATCCCTTCTCCTCCAGAGATCTTGGGCACACGCACACGCCCGGCGTGAGTTTCAAGCCACTGGGTCCAGAATTTAAATTGCGGTTGCCCGTGTGGCAACCTAGCACCTTAACCACCATGCCACCTGCTGGCCCAGTGAATATACGATTTTTAGAAAGAAGTTTCATATACCATATGGTTTCAGAATAATCTATATTAATACAGCAAAACTAGTGACACTAGAACAGAATTTTTTTTTTTTTTAATTTAAATTTTCTTTTCAGGTCAGGGTTAAGGAAGCTAGATCCTACATGACCAACCATACAGTTAGAATCCTGCACCCAGTGGCCCCCAAAACACACCCAGGTGTGCCTCAAATCCTGATAGGCTAGAGAAATGGAGAAGAGGGATTTAAGTGTGACCCGTAAGGGGATTACTATCTCTCTCTGTCTCTGTCTCTATCTCTGGCAATTGCAGACATGACTGGCAAATTAAAACAGAAACTGTATTTTGGGTCAGCAAGTGGCATGTGGTTAAAGGTGACTAGATCCACCTGGCCGTTTGCACAGCTCAAATCCTGGTCCTAGCAGCTTGAAAACCTAACAGGCATGTGTGCGTGTATGCCAGAAATCCTGTGAGGAGAAGGGAGAAGGGATTGCAGTGTAGCCATCCTCCCCAGGGGCAGGAGGTGCTTTCTCTCTGTCTCCAGCAAGCACACACACCCTATAACAGATTTCAAAGGAAAGTAACCTTTCTCTTCATTCGTGGTAAAGTTCATGTACGCAGGCTGGAAGGGAGAGCCTCTCAAGGGTGTCTGGAGTTTGAGGCCGACCACGCTGGAGAGTCCAACTGCAGTTGCCATGTGAGATGTAGTTCTCTCGGGCAGGCTCTGCTGCTGTGTCGTAAATCCAGGCCTGGGCCTGGGACCCACTTTCCTAGCATATATTGGTTTAGGATAAGAGAATTGACAGCCCTAACCAAAAACAACTAAGGTTTGCCTTTTTTATAGGATTTAATTCACCTGACCTTTTAGATCCTCATTAGATTTTGCTCTGCTATTAAAATGAGTTTTCCTGAATAATGATACTATACAGTGTGAGGTCTTTCAGTTAGTAAGGGCTCTTTGATTAACACTTTGTGTTGAAACTGTACTTGATTTCTGTTTATAGTGGAGCTAAGTTGCAGAACAGGTTTAAGGGAAGAACGATTTGCAGTTTTACATTTATTTGTTTAAACAGGCTATCACTGGGTTGCCAGTTGAGTGGCTGGGACTACAGGCATGGGCTCCCACACTCGGATCTTTCACGGAATATCTTTAGGGCCTTTAGACAAGTTTAAAGTGAATGTATATCTTCGGATTTGAAAAGGGCTATAACCCATGCATTCAGTGCCAATAAAAAGCAAAATAGGCATAAATTAGCAGTTGGAAGGGTGTGAAATAAAAGCAAAGTACCAGTTGATCTGACATGGCATTGAGCCAGTCTCTACATAGTGAGTGCATATGATATTTTAAAGTTCTCGCCATTATAAACAAATATAAAATTTGTTTTCTTGTTAACATTTTATAATGTGAGGAATAAAGTTCACGCTTCGTTTCTCTCTTCCCTTCTCAGAGCAATGATGGAGAAGAACGATTAGCTGTTGTCCGACTTCTAGCTAAACTGTTTGGTTCTAAAGATTCAGATTTGGCAACACAGAATCGTCCTCTTTGGCAGTGTTTTCTTGGACGGTAAGAGAAGACACAATTCTGACTTCCATATTTTGGAAGTTAGTCAGTGTGTCCATTTGATTAAAACCACACATACTGGGCCGGCCAGTGGTGGGTGGTTACGGCAGCTGGATCCCACATGGCTGACTGCATGGTTCAAGTCTCAGACCTGGTAGCTTGAACAACATGGCAGGCGCATGAGCATGTATGCCCAAATCCCAAGGGGAGAGTGGAGGAGAAGAGATTGTGGTACACTCACGCCTACGCCTGCCCCATGGGTGCTTTCTTACTTTCTCTCTCTCTGTCATGAGCATGAGCCCTATAGCAAACTTAACAACAAAACCCACATGTAGCAAAACTTGTTTACGAGTTGATTTCATTGGCATCTCTGTTACAATCTTTTCTTGAAAAATGAATAGCAGGATAAATTTTTATAAAGAAAGCGTATGGGTTGGCAGTTAAGGGGGCCAGATTGATAGCCCTACA